ACGTGAGTTCGCTGGAGACTGACGCCTTTATTCAAGCTCTCCGAAGGTTTATTTCAAACCGTGGCTGTCCAAAAGAAATCTGGAGCGATAATGGAACCAACTTTGTAGGAACAGACAAAGAAATCCAGCGATCCATTCGGGAATGGAATCAAGACGAGCTAAATAAACGCCTGATCAAAGACGAGATCAGCTGCCACTTGTGCCCAAGATCCGAGTGGAAATTTCAACCACCCACAGCCAGTCACATGAATGGGGTTTGGGAGAGGCTCATTCGAAGTGTCTGAAAGTCAATGAAAGCGATCCTTGGAAACCAAAACGCGCTGGTCGGATTGGAGACTCTACGCACTGTGTTTGCTGAAGTTGTAACTATCCTAAACAGTTGTTCTCTTACGCCAAGCAGCGACGATCCGATCGACTTCAAACCTCTCACTCCAAGTCATTTCTTGCTTTAGTGGAGAAACCTTGCTCTACCACCTGGTTGTTTGTGAGTGAAGACCTCTACCAAAGGAAGCAATGGAGACAAGCTCAATTTCTAGCTGACTGCTTTTGGAAAAGGTGGATGCGAGAGTACATCCCAACGCTCCAACGTCACAAATGGGTTCGAGAGAAGGGCAGCTTGGCAATCGGAGACCTAGTCTTGGTCGTCGACGACAATTCCCCACGGGGACGATGGCTCCTTGGTCGTGTTTTCAAGACTTTTCCTGGCCATGATCACCAGGCCCGCATAGCCGAAATCAAGACAAAAAATGGTACCCTGGTCAAACCAATCTCCAAGCTGTGCTTGCTTGAGGAAGCAGTTTAAGTATCGTAACATCGAAAATGACTTTGAATTATGTTTCAAGAACTCCATTTTTTATAACTGTCTACGGATTAATTATTGGAGTTATCGAGCCCACAAACACTTAAATTAGGCTAACTGTTGCATTTATTTGCTGAATGTTTAGTTAAATTCAGCCAAGCCCCCCAGGATGTTGCGGCTATTTCGTGTTTTCTATATTTGGTATTTTCCATATATCGTGTTTTCTTTGTGTCCTTTTTTGTTCCATATGTTAATGTATTTTTTCACATTCTGCACACTTTTTTCCTCGCGTCGTATGTAAATTTCGTTGTGTATATATTTGTGTTATTCCTTCATGTTCATTTAGTGCTAGTTTATCGTCCRGTACACTTCTAACTTCTTGGTTCTCAGAACCCCGTTGCCAGCATTTTGGTAAGCCGTTTAGTTTATCGTCTGTTTTGTATTTTCCTTTTAGTTTTCTGCCATCTTCAGTTAGTAATTTGTATTAATTCGTCTTATGTTTATCTTTAGGAAGTTACCTTCCTATGGAAAGTCAATTAAATTTGCTGGTCAGGACTAATTGAATCTCGCTTTAAGTTGTGTCTGAAGTCGGCCCTCTGCATCTTCAGCCATCCACAGGGATGATAAGAACATCGTTGAAACCAAACTTTACAGTTGCGCTATTCATAGGTAGCCTAACAATAAAAATGTGGGACCTGGGGCCACTGAGTTGATTTACATAACATTCTAGCTCGGGTGTCTCTAAAACAGACCTCTAAAACGAAGACCTTAAGACCCAGAATCTCTAAAAAACGAAAAAACCCCTTCAACAAGCCAACAGGAACTCAGTCAAGCCAACCAGCTATTAAGTGCTGAGGAAGACTTAGCGCAGGTACAAGAAATTGTAGAAAAATTTGAACCCGCTTGCAAATCCTACCATATTTCTTGTTTGTTTATTCACAGGAATTTAAGGGTAAAATAATTTACGTTCGGTTTAGCGAAGCAAATTAGAACGTAACAAAACTTTTTCGTTGTTTAGGCTAAATAGCATATCCGGTCAATTTTTTGCAAAGGTTTCCTAAATCTGTCGATCTGGTTGGTTTTTTCATTGTTTTGTCATTTGTTTTAGTATTGCGACTGGTTTGGCTCCACCAAATCATCACATTTGATGTGGTGCGCTAGTGTCATTTTCGAAATCTAGTTTTGGCATTGTTTCCACTCACAGCTTGCTTAAACCTATCAAATGCCATAAGCAACGATGAAATAGCTTTCTAAAACCATCTCTGCGAAAAAAAATGGGTCAAAGACTAATTCTCCAAAAAAAACGGTTTAAGTATGTGTCAACGTTGAAACCACTAGGCTTGCTTACAGTGTTTTTGAGGCGTATTCTGTGATTCCATTGAAAAATCTACAAACTCCTACCCTTAAACAACATTATCTGGCCTAAAAAAATGTGAAAAAAGTTACTCTTACAGGTGTTCAGCACAATTCTGTGCCTTTATCGTTTTAGTGTATTTTAAACTTTTCAGGTCAGAGATCACATCCTTTCTTTCCCCTCTCAAGAGTTGCATTACTCAAGGAAGGACAATGGCAAAAAACGTTATTTGGACGAAAGTCTTTCGGTGCAGCGAATGTACCATATGTACCTGCAGGAGGAAAAGCCCGAAGTATGGTTCAATAACCAAAATGTCCTCAGGTAAATAATTCAAAAGTGATTAGTTTCTGGATTAGTTTCTGGTTAATTGAGTTATGGAATAGAGTAACTGATATCAGAAGGTGACATCATTGGAGCAAGTTAACGTTTCTTTTCTCGGACTTAATCAGAAGAAGAAGACATCATTGAAAAAAGTTTATGTTTGTTAATTTTTTGACACTAAATATTTCTTTTCTTCCTTCTAGAGTAGTACAGCAAAACCAGCAGCCCTTGCTGAAACTTCAACCCAAAATCAGCCAAGACTATTACCGGCATGTGTTCAACACAGAATTTAATCTGGGCTTTGGTCTGCCGAGGACGGATACCTGCGCGAGGTGCGATGAGCTGGCTTCAGCAATTAAAGTCAGCTCAGGAGAAGAGAAAAACAGCTCAAAAAGGAGCAGACCAAACACCAAGAGGAGGCACAAGCCGGCTACGACAGTAAACGCAGTCAAAAGGTAGCCGCCACGCAGAGCTGGTAGGGAAGGAAAAGGATTTTGGGGCCACAGAATAAGCCACTGACTGTAGATGCCATGGACATGACAACCTTTGACTGTGAGCATAACCTGCCCACACCCAATCTCCACCACAGCGATGTGTTTTACGCCAAGCAACTTTGGGTCTACAACTTCGGCATCCACGATTGTGTGCCCGAACAGGGCTACATGATGATGTGGGGGGGAAATGTAGCGAAGCGTGATTCCTGTGCAGTGGTCTCCTGCCTGAACACATTCCTAACGGAATTCAGAAGTGGAGCAAAGTAAAGTTCGCATTAAAAGGAAAATTCAGATCTAATTTGCCGTGGCGGTTTTAAATAGTGACATTAATTTATCACTCTAAGAAATCACAAAAACACAGTGAACCAACCCCAACTCAAGCAAATGCAAGTGGCTAGCGGTATTGTCTTAATGAAGGGAGAAATGAGACTAAAAAAGTCTTAATATCTTCACTGTAACTTTTAATAATTTAGAAGTAAAAAACAAAAATAGAGGTAAAAACCAAACAGCACGATTTTAAGACTTATCGCAGTAGAGAATCGAAGCTCATATTCATTTCATTC